ATTTTTTTAAAATACCCTTATTTAATGTAAGTTGTTGTTACTATAAACCTATCCCATTTAATGAGAGTTGATTCCTTTTTTACCATCAATTCAAGTTTTCATAAAATTGTACTTTATTTAATTTGAGGGTATTTTAGAAAAATAGCAATCTAAATTTACTTTTCTAATAAAATTAACTATTTTTTCTTAAATTGTGTAAAAAAAGAACAGGACTATCAAAGTGGGACAGAGAAAGTATTTTAAGATGTAATGAGAACAATTACAGGCTTGTACCTAGCAGAGGAAACTGAAGGTGGCTGGTTATTTGTTTGTTATGTTCTTGGAGTATCGTGGGAATTTGTGTAGGCTATTTATGTGGTTACTACTAATAAATTCATGTGGACGATCGTTAGATGCTCCGGTGGGAGTTTGCAACTTCTACAGATAGAAAAAGTCATTACAACGATTTCCCAAAAAAATTAAAAGAATCCGGGACACTGTCATCTAATTAAATTTCCTTTTAACGTGAGACTCGTGTCTGTGGATGTGGTAACAGGGCTTACCATTGTGTTACGATATATTACATCTTTTCAGTTTTCTCACCGCATCCCCTTTCCCAATGCTCATAAAAGTCCTTTCTTAATTAGATCTCTATTGCTGCATATCTTCTTCTTGACATCCTTATTGATGTTCCACATCAATCTGTGGAACTATGAAGGCTTCTATAACCATTAATTCTTTCCTCTTGCCTGTCGTCTCAACAGTGATTATGACTCTATCAAGGGTTTTCCAAGTTAGACTAAAAGTTTCGGTCTCAGCTATCCTCATATCCTCCCTCATATGCCTACCTTCCCGGTCAGGTAAAAATTAGCAGACCTTCTTTCGGTGCATGAATTTTCAAGAATTTTCTCTTGCAACTGCGTCCATTTTCAAGAATTTTTTTCAATCACCCTTGTCCCATTAAATCAAGAATCAGCTGGAGAAAACATTTCTACTCCAGAATATTTTGTTTGTAATTCAAGCTTGATGTTCATAGTTGTAGGCTCTTCTTCAGTTAGGGCATATGTTCCCACCCCAAACCCCCCCCCTCCCTCTTTAATTGTAAGTCACAGCATTTAAGACCCTTGCACGATTGCATATAGAAGGTTTCAACTTGGAAACTTAACATTTTTTTTCCGTGATCTTTTCGAGTTTCAGGCTCACTGGCAGTGGGAATGATGCCCTCAAACACCAATAGTGATCAGAATGCACTCCAGGGAAGGAAAATGGTGCTAGGATCAAGGCCACCAGGTTGTGTGAACAAATGCATGAGTTGTCAACCTTGCAAGGCTACTTTAGTTATTCCACCCCACCAAGATGAGGGTTCAAGGAAACTAGCTCATAGAGAAGATGATAGCTATTATCTTCTTTCATGGAAATGCAGATGTGGAGATAAGCTCTTTCAACCTTGATGATCGTCACCAGCCTCTGGCCGGAAAGTTAAAGAAAGCTTTAATAGTAGTATTAGCTAGCTAGCTAGTATTTACTGATAATATATATAGTTGAGAATACCAGGTTATTTCCTCATTAATATGGTGTACTTATAAAATTAAGCAAGCTTCTAATGTTGCACTGTTGTGAGCATTATGTACCTATATAACGGGTTTAAGTAATTTAGTAATTATTATGCTCTCCTGACTAATTCTATACATGCATTTTTAGGAGCTTAGGACTTATCTTTTTGGTTATAATCTTCTTTTTGTTTGCTTCCTGTTCTTATTTGTTCTTGGGGAAGAATCGAATTCATCGGGTACAGCAAATTTTTTTTTTTTTTTTTTTTTTTGGGTTATGAAAGGACATCTCTCTGAGACTAAACAGTTTGTTTTTGTTGAGAAATATCAAAATCTAAATGAAGATCGGCAGAATATCACAAGTACAACCAAACACAACAGTTACATGGAGAGGTCATGTCTATGCAACCAGAAGAAAATGATCACACAGAGAAATCAAGCAAAGGGACAATTTATTGTACTATTTCCATGGCATGCATGCATAGTGCATAGATGACAAATTTGCATAAAGGTTGAAAAGATTTTTAGTGAGTGCCAAAACTATTGATCTTTTTTTCACCTTAATTGGTCTTGTTTCCTGCAAAAAATTCAACACGTTAAATCTAAAGAAAATGACTAAAACATGGAAATTATAGTCTGGATATATGCTAAGTAGTTAGCTTGAAGTTTAAATTGTGAAAGTTAGACTATCATGTGCTTAAACAAATTAGTCCTTAATGGGTTAAGATCTTGTTATGTACTGCAATTATTTTTGAATGTACACTAATTCCCGTAAAATAGTAGTATACCAAAAGTTTTACTGAATCATATTAAAAGATAGTACATATTTCACCGTAGAGGAAATCAATAATTGAGGCTCCGATCACTGGTTCCTGTCCTCGTAGCCAGCATCTTTTTCTTTTGATTTTCTTCCTTTTTCTACTAGTTTTGAAAACTTAAAGAGGCCAGCTTATTTGGATACTGATCTTCCAGGAGCTATTGCAAAATGATCTACCTTAGCACAAGAATTTTGTCAGCCAGAAATTCTGAACTTCCCTATTGTAAGGCTGAAAGTTTTCAATTAGGTTCTGAAAAATTTTTGCCTCCCCCAAAATCTGTCAAATCTGTAGCAAGTTAACTCTTCGGTTCTGCATCTGCCCTGGAGTAGTTGGAGAAGCAATCGTGCGCAGAAAAGCTTCGGAATATTAGCATCTATATTCAAATATATGAACACCAAGTGGATTGGACGTGATGAAATAGGGTCTAACCAAATAAAAATAAATAGAATATCATATAGGAAATGAACATGGAGTAGCGGATATCTTTGACTATCGAGAGAAAACAGGACTACTAGCTCAGGGAAACAGGGATCAGAGGAGTGGACAAAGTCAAGAAAAGTTCACTGTATTATATTCCCAGCAGCAGCAAGAAGACACCACCGTTCATTTGGTGAATGGCGACAGAACAGATTCTAATTGATGCAAAAGATCAAACGTCAAAACTTAACGCTGAAGTGTCCAGCATGCTCTGCTGCAGTAAATTCTCTTTGAGAGTGCTACTTTTTTTTTTTTTTTTTCAAAAATTTCAACGGGTGATATTTTTCATGTATATATATTTTTAAAGAGGTGAAAAACGTATTCAGCTGAATGCAACTTATTATTTTTTGTATGCATAATTTCTTAAATATCTATTCAAAATGCATTCACTAAATGCGTTTTTTTTAAAAAAAAAAAAAATCTTTCACTCTTTTGGGAACTATTTTTCAGAAAGTAGCGCTTTGTGGAAATTTACTCTGCTCTGCTGGCTCGAGTCCTCTCCTCCAGTTCGAACACCTTCAATTACTGCCTTTGAATCAAGTTTTGCAGACAGAAATAGTCAAAAACAATGTTAACTAAACTAATAAAATGTAGCTTGAGTCGTGCTTAATAACACCGTCCTAAGAAATTATTTCGTGAGGTTGAAATGTTTCTCCAGAATTAAACAAGCCTTCTTATTGTTTATAACAAGAAGGATCAAAACTTTAGCAAGTGTCGGTTAAATCCAGCAGAGAGCAAGAAAGTTGGCAGGAAGGTCTCTATTGTCAGTTGTAGATATGTTTTTTAGAGTGAGAAAAGCTGCTATTCATAGGCATCAGAAAGTGCACGTTGGAGGTAGGATAACATAAAAAAAAAAAAAAACAAAACCATGCCTAATTTTTCGCATAATAGACAATAACATTAATACGTATTAATAGAAAATATGTTGTGAACGTGCCCTGAATTCATAACCGATGAGATAAGGATTTGATTTGTAAAATGTAAAAGTAAAATTTATTTTTGCTAGCAGTAAAATCAACTTGGGCCGCATTTAACCCACATGCAGGGGGCAAATCCGTCAGTTTATACTGAAACGGCCCAACTCAACTTCTCTCTCATGCACGCGAGCCCACACTAGTTATCAATTTAACACAAGCCCAATAAAAGAGTAAACATTGTAAATGACGAGAAGTCCATTTAGTTTTTCAATATGGGGTAAAATCTTTTGAAATATCCCTATTATTTTCAACAAATTTATCCTCAGATCCTTGAGTTACATAACTAGTACCTTAATTAAGTGAAAATTGACGTTCTATTCTTACATAACCAAATACTTAATCTCATAAGTACATTAATCTCACTTTTTATTTTTTTGGTAAGGGGAAGATTTTAATATCAAAATTTTCTATTTAGAATTCTTCCCATCTTGCTATTCAATCCAATCCTTCTCCGAACCATTAATTGTGACGCTGAGGACTCGCAATTAGTCCGCACCCGGGAGGTCACTTTCATGGATGGACTTCATCCAAGAATATGCTACTCTTAAATCTTGTAACTATTGAAGTATACTAGGTGCGTTTTCCCGCGCGAGGCGCGGGCGTCAATTTAGTGTAATTCAATACTGCTTAGTCTTAGCATTTAAAATCTATGGCTTTAAAATGTATTACCAGTGTCTAAAATGTATCCTGTTATACTTATGCAGTGATATTATTTATTTAATTATTGTGTTAAATTTTTTGGTGTATTTATTGTTTGTTGTTGGTATTTTTTTGGGGTTGTATTTAATTTTTTTTTTGGTTTTTTTTTCCTGGTTGCAGTTGTTGTATTTAATTTCATTAGTATTTTTTTGTTGTCTTTACTAAGTAATAGTACTCCCTCCGTCCCATTGTTAATGTCATATTTCCACTTTTTGCTTGTCCCAAAATTTGGGTCACTTTGAAAAAGTCAAATCACTTTTACAATTATTTTCCAGTTATACCCTTCTATTGACAAGTCAAGATTGCACTAACCAATTCTGATGGACCCAGCCACAACACATCATCGGAAGTTATCCCCTTCTGATTGTTTTTGCCTTTTAGTCAAAGTGACTTAATAGCAAGTGGTCCCACCAATTTGTTGTTTCACTCCACAAACAGCAAAGGGTACGTTTGGAAGAGTCAAATAAACCTGTCCCGTAATGCTACTGTACATAAAAAGTGCATTTCCCAAAAAGCGTCCCAAATTTTGGGACAGAGGGAGTAGTTGTTTTCATTCATATGTAGGAGACACCATTCTTCAATTTTGATGCAGCGTCAGGTATAGGAACCTCATTGTCTACCAAGTAGACAGACAGAAATACAGAGTTGAGGACAGCAACCGAAAATAAACAAACAATTGTGCCAGTTCCTTATAGTAGTAAGTATAACCATTAGGCATGTACCATAATCATGTATAGTGGCATAGGAAAGCGGCGAAATGTGCGAATCTCGAAGATGATTTTGATGTGCATGGAAGGCAGGAGGGACGGAGCACATTTGAAGCCAAGTAACTGAGATCCGGCATCAAGAGATTGCAAGACAAACAGGCAGATAAATGTTGGAAAGCTTAGAAAAGAAATCTCTAATAAAATAATGACAAATAGTAATATTTTATTTAACTTTACCATTGTCATATTGACGGTTGCATGCAGATAGTTGAGGATTAGAAGAGGTAGCTGTGTTGACACAGCCATCAGCTCTTTGAGCAAGTGTATTTGCATGAAGTTTTGCAGCTGCAATACACGGTAGACAAAGAGTCAGGCTGCATACAACAATATCAAAAAAAACGATGAATAAATGAGAAAGCTTACGGATAAACGAGAAAGCCAAAATTGTGCAATGGATACGTACCATCAGCACAATTGTTAGAAGTAGCTGGTGTAACAGAGCCTAAAGTATCTGATAGTTTGGAAATCTGCTGAGATTGTTCACCAACTGGCTTGGACAAAAGTTTGGTTAAATTTTTTCTGTGATACGCATCTCTACTTTTCCTTCGATGAGCCTCTTTTCCTTCGAAAGAGCAGCAAATTTTTCTCTCTTTTTTCTATTCCACTCATTTTTTTTCTCACGAACATTCAGAGCATTGTCAAGTCGATATAACTTAGAGGAACTCATGTTGTCCGTATTACAATCGAGGAGATTTGTTTTAACATAATTACACAGTGAATAAAACAGAAGCTTCTTAAGCGTAATAATAAGGAAAAAAAAAAACTGGTAGGAACAACAGGAAAGACGATAGAGACAAACTATGAACAAACAGGCAAGTTAATAAACCTAGCAAAACAATACCTCCATTGATGGCTAAGGCAGAAAGCAGTGCAGCAACTTTGTTGGAAACCTGAACAAAAGATGTTAAGGCAGTAAGCATAGAATTTCTGATAAACAAAGAAACCAGGGAGACCGAAATTCAGAATCAGATGATAACAGAGGAAGGAAAAGATTTCCATCGAATATCAAATATCAGATAATATAAAAATACCTTGTGTATGAGTTTCTGGATTCACAACAATTGAGAAGAAGCTTTACATGCAACTGAGAAGTGAAGTACACAGTCGATTTTGCATGAAGACTGTTTGCATCTTATAAGCAATCAAAGAAACACAAAATTACAAATATAACCAAGCGGTGGCATGCAGTGGCGCACAAAAGAGATATCTTCCGGAACAATTTGGTCAACAACAAAGGTTAATGGCCGACAATTAATAAAAGCTGGCCATCAATTGTAAGCAAGGGTTGGCCGATAAATGACACGTATCTTTTGAGATGATGACAAGGAAGCCGCGCACTTACCTAAATTTTAGGATAAAAAAGTATGAAGAAAATAAAATATAAAGGATTAGGAGAAAATGGAATTGAATTGTTTTACCTTCCATATATATCTCTATTTATATACATCTACGTACTTATTTAATATTTAGTGAAACAATAATTGAATTTTAGTTAAATTGTAGTTAAATTATATATATATATAAAATAATATAAAGGATTAGGGGAACATGTGATTGAATTGTTTCATCTTACATATATCTCTATTTTATGCATATATATATATATATATATATATATATATATATGAATTGTTTCGTATCACATATAGCTCTATTTTATAAAGATATATACATAGATATATCTGAATCTTGCACATAGCCTTTAAATTTTTGCAGGGCATAATACCAGGAAAAAAGATATATTTACATCTTATATTTTACACATATATAATAAAAGTATATATATCTAAATCTTGCACATATTATTATTTACATATTATATATATATGAATCTTGAACATAACCTTTAAATTTTGCAGGCCATAATATCATAAAAAATCATCAAAAAAAAAAGATATCTAGCACACACACACAGATATATATATATATATCCTTACATATATCAAAAATAGCTTCAGCATACAGAATGGCTCTGTATATGTCTCTCTCAATTTCTTTCTTAAGAGTCCGGGCCCATAAGTGCCAGGAGCACAAAGCACAATTGATTGGCAGCAATTAATGTCCACTGCAGTTGAACGCCGACCTCAAGGTACAAGAACTTTAGCAAGCGTTTCAACACTCAAAAGTACAACACATGGAAGCAAAGTTGCACTTGAAAATAGCTCCACCGTAGAAACACAAAGTGCTTCTTATGTATACGCAAGGAGATATCTATATCTATGTCACCGTTATGACATATGACATAAGTTGATGTCGTATTAATGAGTTGAACATCTAAATAGGCGCAAGGTGCCCCGGTGGTGATGCTGGATACAGATGTTCCCAAAAATCTTAGCCAATGAATCCAGTTGTGTGCTCTACAAAATTGCAAATGTATAGTTTTAAGATGCACTACTTATTTTTGAACGGCCATAAAAAGAAATTTTAGGGACCAAAAACAACACAAAAAGACAGATATTCTGTACCTGGTTACATTTGATTTCCCAGACCAATTTTGCTGGTCTCCGTCCAAAGGTTAATTTTGCTTAGATTTGTTATTTTTCACAAAAAAATATGTTGTGTTTGGATATTTAATTTTTTTAAAATATTATTTCACTTATATCATAGTAATTTAAAACTCTCAATTACTACTTTATCTCACATGCGTCACATTATTTTTTTCCCATGTGTGTGTTACGGCGGTGTTATTTCAAATAACATCCTGTTCAAAATTATTTTACATCCACTATATTCCAAAAAGGAAGTGGCCTTTATTTTGTCTACGTCACAAGGGTTGAATAATGGAGGCTTCATAGACACAAGAAAGGGAAAAAGGAAAAAGGGGAATATGAGCTTGCAGAAATAAAATTAATTTTAAACCGCTATGACTGGCGGTTTGGCTTGGATTAATGAAATGAAAGCTGTATTTAAAAAAAAAAAAAAAAAAAAAGGGTGTCCGTCTTACCGGTTAATTACTACTAACTTTGCTAATTCAGAGAAACCCTTGGAACTTCCCTAAACAACCACCATGGCCTCCCGTTTTCCTCCCACGAGCTTGCACCTCCACCTCCACCACAACCACCGCCTCCTGGTATGGCCCAATTCCACCACCTTTTCTCCTACTTTCTTCAATTGTTTAGCATCCTTCTGTAGTCGTACTCAATTCACTACCACTTATATCCCTCATCTTCACCGCTCGTGTCTATTGTCATCCTCCCATCCCAGAAAATGGTCTACCCACTGCCGTGCCACCAGCCCTGGCCCACCATCACCCCCAGTTGGACCCGCCTCCTGGAGATAACCCGCCTCCTGGAGATAATCCACCTCCTTCCTCGGTAATTACTGAGCTATTGGCTAGTATTACCCAGCTCATTCGATTCTTCTGTTATTGAGATTCCCTGAATTCCTGCATATATTTGTGGCTTTCTCTTTTAACGTACTTAACTAGCTAAACTAGCTTATGAGTTCGATACTTGGAAAGAAAGGGATTTTGTTGAACTGGGCTTTGCCTTGATTGAGCTTATATATTATATTTATTAAGCTGTTTAAGAAACAGATGTTTAGAAACAGCATGAAGAAATGGATTCAGAAGATGGTGAGGCTCTTGTGGAGTTATGGCTAGGCAAAAGAGAAGGGGCTTTTTGATTTTTAAGTGTCCATCCTTTTCTTGAATGTGAAATTGTAGGGAATTTACAGCTACGCAAGTCTGCATGTATTGAATTAATTACTAGTTTTGATTGTTTTCACAATTTTGTGGCCGCTCTGCTGGTTGCTCCATCAGTAAAAAGTTAATTAATTATCGAATGAGACAACCATTTTGGGTTCTCCTTCAGAAGATAATTGGATTCACGTACACATGTAGTTACATCAAATTGAAATCTTTTTTCATCACCAATCAATCACGCTAAAATAGTCACTGCAATGGTTCTGACAATTTTTTACATCATAAATGTCAACTTGCAATTGTTTATTTAATTAATGCATCGCATCAAAGTGGAAATTATGAACTCAATATATGAAAGCGTAAAGTCAAGAAATTGTGTTTCCATGCCAAATTGCAAAACTTTGTTGTCATCAATCAAGAAATGTATTAAATTGAATGAATGAAAGAAAGTTGCTTTCTCGTTATGGAAATTTAACTATTTGTACTCCCTTATGTATGTTTTGCTAATGGAAATTTTCTCTCTCAAACTATTGGGGAAGAATGAAGATTAGACCGTTCAAAAAGCCATTTTACATTGCCAAGTAAGAAAACTGCACTAATCGTTTTACATGGACTGCACCATGGATAAAAATAACTTTTTGTTTCTCCTGTTGGCAGTTTAAGTAACTGTACTCCCAATTACATTCCTTATGATATAATTCCAGTTCAAAATTTCCGATCCTATTTTACTTCTTATAGAGAACTAAACACAGCCTAAGTGATTTATGAAATGCGTGGCATGGATGAGATTATGGTGGTACTGGATGCTATTGATTTCAATATTGACTGGCTATTTTTTCTGTTTTGGCTTATCTTAGGAAAGTTTTACTGTATTTATGCTTTAGGCTTATCCAGGTGCAGTTTTACTTAGTAAAAAATATTTTTAAATCTAAGTGGAGTTGATGAGTTCTTGTTAACAAACCATTGCAACCTTGAATTCAGTTGCTTGAACCTTTTTGCCCCATTCATTTTTATCTTTATCGTATATCATCTCATTAGCTTGACTCCAGATGTCTACTTTATCTGCAAGATGTAGCATGAGGATAAAGCAAGGACGTAATATGGTAGTGCTACATGATTCTGTTATGCTACTTGTCTGATTTAAAACTTAATTGCTTAATCTTGCTATCCCTGCCGCAGGACTCATTTCAAGTTTCTCTAGGATTAAAGATACTGTCCGGATCTTCTTTGCTGTTCTCTTCTGGATGTCTCTTTTCTTCTGGTCTTGCGTGTGGGATGGGAGAAATATTGGAAGACCAAAGAATGGATCTCGATTTAGAAGATGATATAGTAAGCGTTTGTCGTGTATATTTTATAGAAGTTAAGCATAACATGGACAAGTAAAGTGGTCAATCTTGTAATCAAACCAACAAATAATGAGAAAATCCTTATGAAATTCATATGATTTCAGTTCTTATATCTGCCTTCACTTGATATTCTGAGGCTGTTCACTGGGTTTGATCACTTCTTGTATCCAAGAATGTTACACTGTATTCACTACATATTTTGATGCCATCATCTTTTTTGTGGTTGGTAATCAACTTATCTTGTTGCTGGAAAAGTTCCTATGATTCAGTGAAAAAAAAGGTACTAGAAGAGCTGGCATGGAAATTATTTTGCCAATTAACGCATAAGAACTCATTGGAGGCAGCGGGTGATAGCCCATCCTAACCTTCATGCTGCAAGTACTTGAACCAACGTCCTTAATCAAGGAAACTAAGTGCTACCAACCCTGCCATTTCTTGCATACATGACACAAGTGAACTGCGTCCTCTGAATATTTGTTGACCCAAAGAGGAAAAGAGATGGAGCGGCAGAGAGATTTTTTTTCTCTATTAAATTGTTGCTCAGGGTGGCTTCTGTGTTATGAGAATCTAATTTCCTATCTAAATACTTTCTTAGGAGGTAGGACGTCACCGTACATATTTAATGAGGAGAGACAAAATCCTGGGAAATGCGTTTTCCTTTGAACCACCACCTTGTAACTCTCATCATTATATATGAATATTTAGTTCCTTATTTTTATTTCTCCTTTTGGTGAAATGTCTCTCCAATAAGTAATGGGCTGTCTACCTTATACACTTAATCCATTGTTTATCTCAGCTGTTCTACCCTGAACCAATGCAAGTTCTGGTGATTTCATGCTTCAAATTTTGACTGTGGTATGATCAGAATCTGGTTAGCTACAAGACTACCATGAAGAATCATACGCTTGGGTACTCTCATTTTTCTCTTCCCTTCTCTCCAAATAGTTTGATCCTTAATTTCGTTGAATGTCAGTTAAACTCTTTTAAGTTTTCTGTTTGTGGATTTTTGACGTGTTTATGTAATCTGATTGCGGACTTGATTGAGCTTTCATGGTAAAAAGTACTTTATGACTATTAAGAAACCTACTTCACAAAGAAACTGCTGTGCATTTGAATCAATTTCTAGCAGATAGGGTATGTGAAGTGAATGTCCTTTGGCGATAATATGTTCCTAGGGGATGCTGCAGGTTTGGTGTATGTATCTAGCATGGGAAGGTCCCATTTTCGTCTTTTAGGCGGTGAGGAGTTTGTCAGAGGGGGTGAGGAAAAGGAAAAGCGGTTGTAATTATAAATTGACCTTGTGTTTTTTCTGATCTTTTCTGATTTATCAAAGGCTAATGTGTTAATTAAAGCATCCGTTGTGCTCTCATTTTCTTTTCATAGGAGTTGTTTTGCCCTTGATATGCTCCATTTGAATCGCAGTCTCTGTAATTTTTTGTTATCTCGGCATCCCTTCTTAGTCTTGCAGTAACATGCCCTGTTGCAGAGACTTCCTCACCATGCCTTGTTGCGTTCTGCATGGGGTGGGAGATGCTATTCAAATGGAACTAGATGTCTTAGTTTGAAATATGATTGGTTAAGCATGCGTTCTCCTCTACCGCAGATATTGTTGCTTGAGGTGGTATAAATGTTAGCAGCAGCATATACGAGGAAGGGAAAGAAAATTTTTGTTGCTCGTAGGAATGCGGTTTGGTTCCCTGCATTTTACGTGCCGTGTTTTCATCTTCCTCTTTGCAGTAGCTGGACAAACACGACCCTGAATCCTCGACCAACTTTTGAAAAAGCATACATCAGTCAGTCAAAATGGTGGGACATAAACTTCTATCCTCCTAGACGCTCTCATAGTGCTAAATCCTCCGTCGCCGCTTCCTCAAATCCTATCACTTCTCCTCTTTGGATGTTTACCTGCGAAAAGAAGGGAAGAAACGTGAAGCAGGGGAGGAGCATGCGGTCGCGAATGAAACGAGAGTAAAAGAAGCTATCAATTGGGTTGATGCTCTTTCAGATTAATAATAATGACGGGAACTGTCCTACATGATTAATTATGGAAGACAGAAGCTGGTGTTTCCAAAAAGTGGCAGTGGGCCCCTTGATGACACCGACTCCCCATTGATTCACTGTCCCAGGATTACAGCGGCCCTTGTGAAAAAACCGTATCGTTTAGGCACTTTTTATATGCGACGATTGTTCAAATGCTGCCGTCCGCTACTATGGGGTGGCCGGCGGAGTCGGGAGTGTTTTAGGTTAACGCGTTGGGTACCAATAATCGGTAATCGATCGATGAATCGCCTTCTTAAAAGTTATTGGCTGCCGGCAGTAGTCATGAATGAGCGTCGTTTTATTTTATGGGTTAGTTCGTTAATTTTTCTCCTTCTTGGTTTCTTATAAAATTCAACCCATAAGCTTCGCATCTGATCATTCATTCCCTCCTGCATTTGACTGTTACTACAAAAAATCCGGCATACCCATACGACAGCTGAACCTCTTTTTTGTAGACCTTAGAAGGTATAAACGGGATGGCATGGCATGACTCATGAGAGCCAGCACTGTTCGCCGGTCTCTGTCAGCCTGGAAAAACCTTCTTGTTGCGTTTCCTGGTGCCCATGGTGGATGCCAGAGCAGGAGCTGGAGGGTCGAAAAATCCAAGCCAAATTGCAGTAAATTAATATATCTAGTTTGGGCTTGAAATGAAACAATTCTCTAATATATCTTTTATTTTTTTGGGGGGGCTAGCGCTAGCCAAGTTGCTCTTTCACATCAATCTTTTCAACCCATTGCGTGCCGTCGCCTCAGTCACATGGATGATGGAAACTCCGCTTGCGGCAGACATTTTATCACCTGATGTTACAGACTCAATTCTTTCCACCGATTTTAGACCGTCCATACATCGACAATCCCCATCAGAGACGAACTCCCCCGGAGGCCCCATCCTTATCAGCCGCCAGAGCCAGTCCTGGGTTGAAAGTTCGCCCCCCATCCCGCATTTTCACCGGTTTTGGTTATTGCCAAAACGGCTCCGATAACGGCAGTTTCAATTCAAGTTCAATTTTCTCCACTGATTTTTATTCGAAGAAGGATAAACAAAATAACAACAAATAATAGGAGAAAGATGTCGTATCTTCAAATTCTGCATTCGATGTGATGTGAGAGACGTGATGATAAATGACTTATAAACAATTCATAAATCACACATTATCTTATACCCATGTTTGATGCGTATTTTTTTTTAGTGATGGAAATTGAATTCATTTTTATTTTTTGTGGTTGAAAAAATATAGTATTAATTGACATGTTAATTTTAAAAAAATTACTATAATACATGAACGAAAAACCTAAGTCAGAAAATATTCAAGTTCAATTTTTTTTTTTTTTTTTGCACAGAATTTGCCAATCGAGCTCAATTCAATTTTTTTTTTTTTTGTCAATTCAATTTGATTAGGGAATTTCGGATTGATAAACTCGATTGCATCCCTAATTATATTTTGTCCCGAGATTCAATGCAACGGCCCCAATTCAGTGATCAATCCTAATCATCAGCCTTCCATCGTTTACCAGCGAAGCTGCTGTAGCAGACTACTAGGTATAAAAACCCTCGCTAAAACGCTCTCCTGCCTCTCTCTCCCTCTCCAAGGGGAGTCTCCAGAGGTGAGATCTTTGTCATCTTCTGGGAATACTTGATCAACAAAAAAATGTTACTGAGGAGTTCATCCTCGCCCATCCTAAATTCATGGCTTCCAAACTCATCCGGGTCATCTCCTGAACCCGATCATCTACCCCAACTCACCGCACCCGATCCGTCTCTCTCTCTGCCTCATTCGCCATCGATGATAGCCCAGGTTGCGCCAGCCCACTTCGACCCGTCCATGACTCCGATCTTAGGACCACCGGCCAGCAGCTTCCAAGAAGGAAAAGGATATCCACATTAAGCGCCCCAGGACGCCAAAGCCGGTGAAGCTCAAGGAGGCCAAGGAAGAAGTTGGAGAGGCTGTTGTCCAGCTCGGGGGGAGCCCGCGGCTGCCGCCGAGGAGGACGGGTGTGTGGCCGTGTGTGGAGAAGGAGAAGGTTTTGCAGACTCTGGTGGTGAGGCGGTGGCGCTGGCGGAGGGGGGAGGGTCTGTGGTGGTGGTGGAGGAGGTGGCGGTCAGATGGTGGAGATGGTCCGGATTTGTTCGATTCTTATGATTCGAATAGGTGGCATGGCATGATAGTACGGACGCGTACTATCAGAAAATGATCGAAGCCAATCCGGGCAATGCTTTATTACTTTCGAATTATGCCAAGTTCCTAAAGGAGGTAACTATCTTTTTCTTTTTTTGTCTTTTTCTTTTTCCTCCTCCTTTCTTGAACAACGTTTTATTTATTTGTTGTATGTTTTTTTTTTTAAATTTCAAAGAAAGTTAGTACTAGTTCTTTTGGTTTTCTTGGTGCAATTTGCCTGATTATTTGTGGATTGAATTTGCTGAATAGGTGAAGGGAGAGTTAGATAAAGCTGAGAGTACTGCGGAAGAGCAATTTTGGCTAACCCAAGCGATGGAAATGTTCTTTCACTGTATGCTGACCTAATATGGCAAACGCAAAAGGATGCACCCCGTGCCAAGACTTACTTTGATCAAGCTGTTCAAACTGACCCTGATGACTGGTAAGAGTTGCCCACCGTTTACATATAAACAATTATTTGATTTGATTTTGTTGGTGTAGAGTTAGTTATGGCTTTCATTAATAGTGCAGTTGGTTGACGTAGAATTGGTCTTGACTTTAGTTCAGTTAATCTGCTGTCAAAAGCTCGGTAGGTAAATCATAAAACAAAGATAAATTTGGTAAGAATCGAATGCCAGGTTTTACTGGTGCCATGCATGCAAGCAAGTATCATCTTGTTTTGGCTGAAATTTTGGGATTTGTTTGTTCTGGAATCTCTTTGAAATTAATGAGTGTGGGTTTGTGGTGTAGCTATGTGCTTGCTTCGTATGCTCGGTTTCTATGGGATGCTGAAGAGGAGGAGGAGGAGGAAGAAGATGCATCAAGCCAATATGGAAAGGATGGTGGTAATTCATCAGCAACATTCTATGGAGGAGCATCACGCGGACATCCACTTACGGCGGCTTCTTGATTCTCTGTCTCCTACTCATCTCTCTGCCATAGTCATTATTGTTCATATAGTAGTAGAAGTCAGGAGTCTTACTGGCGGCAAATCCTAACATCTGCTTTTTTGCCCTGAATGAGTAGTAATTTCGTGAATTTTTGGTGACGAGTTTCTAAGTTGATGTGTATATGTTAGCATGAATAAAGATCAACTTTTGTTTTATGGATACAGCTTATTATATTCTATAAGATAAGATAAGATGAGGAATTATGATTGAAAAACGCCAATTTATTAGGATCATTTTGGTTTGTCTGCTGGTAGGTACCTGTTTAGCAAGAGGTATCTTTTGCGGTTCCTTCGACTCGGATATGGTTCTTCTTTGTAAGGGGAAAGCTAACATCATCATTTGCTGTTATGAATTTTTTGTAATTTGTTTTGCATGTGATTCTCTCCACAGTTTAGTTAGTGGTCAAGAATTGCTTTCGACTTTAGATATTTTTGAAGCAAAAAGATCTCTCAGTTTCCTTGGCAAAGGGATTTTCTCGAGTTGTGATGTGTCTCCCGTATTTGTTCCACGTGAAACAGTTTCACATATTATTGTTGTTGTCTGCTCATTTAAGTGTTGGAGTATTTGCGCGTGGTTTTTTTTTTTTTTATTTTTTTTATTTTTATTTGAGGGTCTAATCTATCTAACTACGGCAATTTTGCAAAACTCTAGCTCTGGTATCTTGCGGTTGTGGTTGGAATCCTTCATTCATGTGTGTGTATGTGACATTTAAAGTGCCACTGCATATTTGACGGCAGATCCTACTTCCAGCTGACAATAATAAATTTAGGCCCTACTTTTAATCACGCCTCCCTGCTTAATCCAATACCCTTTCAATGGAGTGCTTGGCTACAGTTTTGAGCGTGACATTGTTGTACAATGGTGGACTCACTGTGATTAATGATTCGACCCTTGGGCTCCATTTGAAGTACTTTTCCATTCAAGTAGTAGTATATAAATATATTCGAAGGTTGGAAGCTTTTTTTTTTCACTGGCTTTCCATGCTCATTTTACCCAAAAAAAAGTTGATTAAGCTTGAGTTCATGGTCCAGCTCCATTGGGTCTGTCTGCTAAATGAACTTGGGTCCATTTTTCATCTCCTACCATTCTAGAACAGTATGGCTTACACAACAAAAAAAAATTTGGTGAAAGGCCCAAGGAGCCTTCGCGGCACTCGACAGGCCCAGGTTTGCGGCCTCCTCCGCAGTTTTGTTGACTCCTTGACTTTGATCGGGCCCCACGTGATTCCCGCCCGCAACCTTTTTTTGCTTCAACGGCGTGAGCGGGTGGGTAATCGCAGCAACCGTTGTTGAGTTCGTGACCCGGAACCGAAGCAAAGCACGTGCGCCAAAACAATGTCCCCGTGCGAACTCCCCTCACGTCTGCAATTTCCCGCTTTCGGAACTAAAACCCCCGCATTCCAATCCACTTCACCACCGCATTTCGAGTACGTTATCCATTATGCTCTCCATCCTACGGCTTCACGTCCCATCTGCATCCCCTCCTCCCACCCTCATCCCCACGTTCGTGCATCTCAATTACCCCTCCCCCAAAAATCTCCAACTCATCGTGTCCGACACGTGCTCAATGGCGCGCGAAAGGAAAAAGGAGAATCGCCGACGGTATAGCTTAGCATGCAAAGAGAAAAGGATAAGGTAACAGCGAAGGACGATCGCGAAATCCCAAAACACGGACACGTTAGCAAAATCGGGGACCTTCCATTTTGCTAGCTTAACCGAGGAGCCCAAGCGATATATTATATACTCCGTATGAGAACAGTCCTTTCGTGGGGACAAATCATCATCTTCCGACATAAAAGCTGACACGTGTCACGTAAATAAAAAATCCAGGTCTTCCAATGAATAATAAAATCTTTTGTACCTTTCAAGGTCGGTTTATCACATTTCTTTCCTGGCTGCTTTCCTCATATTTTTTAGGACTTTAAGAGTCAAGGCTACTGCTACCATAAATTGATAAAATCAGAGGAGAACGGAGACAAAAAGACGGGAGAAGATTTTTTTTCTTTTTCTCAGCAGTTTTTTATAGTTGCTCTCTAGCACCCCCAGGCCTCAGGTATGGATATGGTACTAACGGAAGTCTTAAGGATTTCCCGTGTACTTTCTAGTTCAGGTGGGAAATGTTTGGTTAGTTTTAAGTTCAAGTTTGTCGGAATTTTAGTTGGAACTTTTGTATGTTGGTTTTGCTGCTGAAGCGCTTTATTTGGAATTTGCAGGTAGATGGATCAAGACATGGCTAGTATTGCTGTCAACAAGGAGGAAGTTGTGTCAGTGGAGCTGCCTGCCCCTGCTTCTTGGAAGAAATTGGTACCCACCTTTTTTTTTTTTACTAATAAGTTTTTTTAAACACCAAGATACTCTTTTTGTTTTGCTCTTTTTTTTCCCAGTGCGCTAAGCTCATATTTTAGCTTTTTCTGCTGATTTAGTGCTTGTTCTGTGTGTGGGGTGAATTCCTGTGTTCTTGTGTTAAATGATTTAGTAGAATAATAAAGGGTCAAACTTTTGTTGGGTGGATAAAGCTTTTGGTAGTTTGTTTTGTACGACACATTTCCTAGGTTGTTGTAAGTGCAAAAAAATAGCAGTGTTCAGACGCTAATTTTCAAAATCATTTATATATCTATTTCCCTCTTTTTTTTTTCCGCCTGCTCTCCCTTGGGTAAAAATCATCTCTTAGAGTGGGCTGAGAAATATATCTAGTATTTAATATTTTTCTGTATATTCGTTAAACCAAAAAAAAAAAAAAAAAAAACTCTTATTGCATCTGTTTTAGAAGCCGTGCTCGTAATATGCACTTTTTGTTGTTATATTTTCTTCTTTGTCTTTTTTTTTTTTTAAGGGAAATTGGGATTTATGTACTCTGGTGATTAGTTTACATATGCTATCTGGTAGAAAGTAAATTTAGAAAAAATATTTCTTGAGGCTTCCTCACCTTTCTATGTATTTGCTCAAGGAAGATGAGATGGTGAGTCTAATTGGTACAAACTCTTTTGGGTGTTGCATGCGTGTTGTTGAGATTCAGTCATTAATCCAGCATTTCACAGGTGTAGGGTGTCTGATGTATGTTTTCTTCAGTTTCAATTAGAGGTTTACAGACTGCTTTTTGAACGGCCAAAACTACGACATGGTACTCTTCAATTTTGGTTTCTTTTGCGTATATTGCTGCAAGTCGTGGTGTCACTTGCTAGTATATGACTATATGCCATTTGTGAAGCCGAGTTCCTTGAAAGCTTTGTGATCCAGTCATTTACTTGTTCGTCTAGAAGAGCCTATTGAAAAAGCAGCGTTTTCCTCCAACCCAGCCAATTACTGTTGCACGTTAGATGTTTCTCTAGGTCTTGTACCGCCATGAGGATTCTTGTATGAATCTACTATGTAGCCAGGAGCCCTGCGGTTTAGCAGCAACTTCCTAGTTGCTGATCTTTAGATGACAGTGGCTGTGATGGAATAAGTGCAAGTTGTCATCTGCTACTATAAATCTTTATACTACTTCTGCAGAACATCCTTGCAGAGAGATATAACTTGTTTGTAAGTTTGTTCAGAAGTAGGTCCATCTTGACTTAGGGAATCCAGTCTAATTGCAGGCAAGTTTAGCAGTGAATTGTAGTTGCACTGTGCATATTGATGCCAAAATTGAATATCCTTGTAAATATGGAAACTCGTTGACCTTGATTCCCTTCCAGTTAATTATAGAATGGTCTTCATTTGTTGGTTTGCAGTTTATTCCAAAAAAAGGAGGAACTCCAAGGAAGAATGAAATAGTGTTTGTGGCTCCTACAGGAGAGGAAATTAGTGGTCGGAAACAGTTGGAGCAGTACCTGAAGTCCCATCCTGGAAACCCATCAATTTTGGAATTTGATTGGAGCACGGGCGAAACTCCTAGAAGATCAGCAAGAATCAGTGAGAAGTTAAAGGCTACACCTCCACCCACTGAGAAAGAGCCGCCAAAAAAAAAGAGCTCGTAAATCACTAGGAGCAAAGAAGGATGACAAAGAGACTGATGCTGCCAAACAGGAAACTGAGAATAAGGGACATGAGGAAATGCTAGATGCTGGGGCAACTGAGAAGAAGAGCGAGGAACCAGAGAGGGGAAATGATATCATCAGGGCAACTTTAGCTGAGGGCGAAGGTAAAGCAGATGCTGAAGATAGAAAGGAGCCGGACTCCACAGTGAAAGAGAATGGTACTGTTGAAAACGGCGTAAAAGATGTTGGAGTGCAGAATGAGACTGATGATAAGAATGCTCCCATTGCAGTTGAAAAAGGGGAAGAGAAGCTGGATTCTAAAGAGGTAGAGAAACCAGAGACTGAGATTGGAAAAGATGATGGTGCTGATGCTGCAGGAAAAGACAAGGCAGGAACAGCTGCTGCTGCAGCAGCAAACAATGGAGTAGAGCAAGAGCTGCCCAACGGTGTGGCGCCTCCTGAAGCAGAACTAAAGAAGTAGAAGTGTGTGTGTGATGGCAAGCTAAAGTTGCAGTAGAAGATGCGCGAGTGGCGGTGATGGAAAATGGCAAGGTTGAACAAACGGGGCAAAGGGAAACTGCACAATGTCCGTCTCCAGCTCCAATTGCCTGCTGAATGTATAGTCTGCATCTCGTTTAATTTCCTGTGTCCGGTCTAACTTTTTGGACGACTATAATGTTAATGTTTATTAGTGCTTAGATATTAGTAGTTGGTCAGAAAATGACTTTCTTAGTTTTCTGCGATGCTGTGATCCTCTTACGACTCGTGCTATTGAGTAGAATTAGATTGACTGTTTACTGTTTTTTGGCTATTCTCTACATAGGGCTCTTATATATCTTTTATACGTTGTTGGTCTGTTTATTAGATGAAAAAAAAAGTTCACGTCCACATTTTTGATTGTTGCTTTATCCAACAATACTTGAAAAAAAAAAAAAAGGAAAAAAAGAGCTTGAAGGCATCTGACGGTCTCTCTTAAAAGTGTGGTTTTGGTCTCGTGGAGTGGAGTAGATTGGGCACATGGTCATCCGCTGAACGGTTGAAGCAGACGGTTGTTTAGTGCCCCCCGCCCGCCCTTATGTCGGAAAAAATTAATTTCTTTATTAGTCTTTGTAACCGGCGAATGTCATGTACTTCACAATTTTTAATTTTTTCTAAATTTATTTCGAATAGTTTTTTATTTTTATTTTTTAAAATCTTTTGGATCAACTTTACTTTTTTTTTTTTTTTTTTTATCTCATATTAATGTACACCACATTATAAAGAAAACAGTGATAAATAATACTAAAAGATTTCCAAATAGTCTTCCATTCAAGTACGCTATGTTCTGCTGCTGAACCTCGGGCAAGAGGGGTGCACTTTGGAGCATCCAGGTTTAGCACAAGCAATGACCAAATTTAAATAAATATGTCTCATGGCACGCGTTCAATTCTCTGGAGGAAAAATGGGACGTCGGGAAATAGAGGAACCAACCAAAAAAAAATCGACTCGCATTAGGCATATCTCTAAGCTTATAGAGTACCAGTCATAAAATAATCTTCCTTTTCATGATAATCCTGAAATCAGTGGCAATGATTTTAAGTCATACATCATTATGCCAAGAGTTGTTAATCCATGCAACTTCGGTTCTCTTCTGTTTGCTGCCGCACCTCTCTCTTGATCTCTGTCTCGGCAATATGATTTTTACTCACATTAGTCCGCACATCCAGTCATCTAGGATTGAGGGAGACGTCAAAATCTGTATCTCAACTCTTGAGTTGATCCTGCGAGGAAGCATCAAGAGATATAGCGTTCAGTGTTCACAAAAGGATTGAAATGCCGAAAAGGTATAACTTTGAGGTAGAGAAAAGTTGGATACACTACTACACTACAAAAGTTAGGAATCTATTCGAAGCCCGCAGGGCCAAACATTTGTCCCTCAGAAACTACATTTGCCATTCATCCCTGGACCAGGGTTTAGAATCTTTTATTTCATTTTGTCAGTCAGTAATCTCCATCCATGGCAAACCACCCCTGGAAGCATTCCATTCCAAAGACAACCGCCTTTTTGATTTCAAACAAAGTTATCTGCAATTCTGAGAAATTACGTCTACTAATTAGGCTACATTTCTTCAATGGAGTGGTACTCAGCATTTTTCGGCCTTTCAAGATAATGGGCTTCTACTCTTTTGGCCTCTGCTTCCTTCTTCTCTTCAATGTTTTCTTATCCAATGGTATGCTTCTCTAAACTCTCTTAACTTTATTTCTTTTCCTTCCTCCTTTTCTGTAGAACATTTCTATCCTCTTTAGATGTATTATTATACTTTTAAGTGGGCATGCAGATGCAGATTCTATCTATGCGATGGATCCTCAAAAGCTTTCATGATCAGCTTATACTTAGGTCTCTATTCTCTAAAAAAGAATTGTCTTTCTAGAATGCTAAAATTTTAAAACGACACTATCTTTTTGTTAGCTTTACCAGGTTTCCTGCTGGTGATGAACTTAGATTTAGTTTCTCCTTCTAATGTTTGGTTTCTACATAAATTGTTTTGGGGTTCATTTAGTTCTGTCAACAAGTGTAGCATATTCAGGATTTTGTGCAACTTACTAGCTTGCCTCGTCATGAAGATGTCACACTGTCTAGTAGCTTTGGAACTGCTATTTTATCATCATCACCTTTGCAAATCAAACTATAGCAAGAGATGATATCTTTGTTCATGCAACACCCCTTTGTTTGTTGTTTTTTTTTTTTTTTTGGCTTGTCATGGCAGTGTTGATGGTGCATGGTTTTACGGGTACGTATGGAGTAAATTACGGTAGGATAGCTGACAACCTTCCACCACCAGCAACTGTTGCAATACTTCTCAGGGCAGCAAAGATAAAGAATATCAGAATCTACGACGCTGATCATGAAGTTTTGAAGGCCTTTTCAGGATCTGGAATTGAGATAATTGTTGGAGTGGGGAACGAGAATTTGAAAGACATGAGTGTGTATCCTGATAATGCTGTATCTTGGGTGAAGGAAAATGTCGAGCCATTCCTTCCAGGTACTAGTATAACAGGAATTGCAGTTGGGAACGAGATCCTTGGAGCTACTGATGTAGAACTCTGGGAAGTTCTAGTGCCTGCAGTAAAAAAATGTATACCGTGCCCTCGAGCAGCTTCACCTGAGTGACAAAATTGAGGTCTCAAGCCCGCATTCAGAGGCTGTTTTCGCCACAACATTTCCCCCATCCGCAGGCGCATTTAAGGAAAGTATTCTGCCGTACATGAGACCACTTTTGCAGTTCTTTTCTCAAATTGGTTCTCCGTTCTATATAAATGCCTATCCATTTCTGGCCTACATCAACGACCCTTCACATATTAATATCAACTACGCACTCGCTCAACGAAATCCTGGTATTTATGATGCCAAAACCAATTTGCACTACGATAACATGTTTGAGGCTCAGATTGATGCAGCTTATGCTGCTTTGGAAAAGGTTGGGCACAGTAAGATGCCGGTTGTAGTTTCTGAAACTGGTTGGGCTTCAGGGGAGATGCAAACGAGCCAGGAGCAACGATTAAAAATGCTCAGACTTACAACAAAAACTTGCGTAAGAGGCTTCTAAAGAAGAAGGGGACGCCTTACAGACCCAAGATACCTGTGAGGGCTTACATTTTTGCCCTGTTCAATGAGGACTTGAAGCCTGGTCCAACTTCTGAGAGAAACTTTGGATTGTTCAAACCTGATGGCAGCATTTCTTACAACATTGGATTCAAAGGGCTTGCACCTTCATCAGCACACTCTTTAAAGGTCCTCGCATGTTTCTTTAGTTCATCAATCGTCTTCTTGAATTACATGATTAAGATGCATGGTGCTGATATCTGATGCTGTTTGCTTATGATAAATCATGCTTTTGGTTCTAAACTTTGGTCCGGCAAAATGTTTTGTTATTAATTAAACTACGTTTCCTCTTTTTAATATATGACTGCTTCTTGAAGCAAGTAATGACGGGAAATTTTGCTTTAGAGATGTATTCGTCTTTAATTCTTGAGCTAACGGAATATCTAATAGAAACTCTGCTCTGCCTATATCTTCTTCAACAACATTTCCTTTCTTTCGCCATTTTTGTTTCCCCTGTTAGGGGACATGCCATTTGCATCAGATGCCTACTGCAGATTTAGCTTCCACAGACATTTGAGATAGTGTACAAACACTAGGGTGCTACATATTGCTGAATGGATGACAGAACTTTTTAACTGGTTTAGAAATTAAATCACAACAAACATAATGTCAGATTTCCTTCCGTGTTGCTTTTGCTGTACTGATTCTGTTTTATGCCTCCATTTGTGTTGCAGGATCATCGACTAGGTGGATTCTCACTGATTCACTTGATTTATGCAACAATACTGGTGTTTCACTTTATCTGAGGACTTGGACAAATTTCAGGGACATTCAGATTAATAAAGAGAAGGCATCCAGAGTCCCTTTTCATACGTGTTTGATGCAGAATCAGTTTACAATTAGCAAGTTTTAGCTTCCTCTTCGTACACATAGTTGAAATCCATTTGATTGATTGATTATTGGATTCTGTGATTTGAGTATTCCTGAATTTGATTGGTGCAATGCCCATCCACCCTTCCCCCGGACCCTCCTAACCTAACCCAATCTTCCCAGGAAATCTTTGGACAAAACGAATTTAACATTTTTATCCCTTAAACTCACATTTGCTTGGTATTCGTAATTTGCAAATACCTGATCGATTAAATCTCACCTAACGTTTCCAAATTCTCTGCATAGCAGTCGTGAGCGGATACTTCAATAACTTCAAAGTAAACAGGCCTCCGTGTTTGAAAAACCTCAACTATGTGGCAAGCTTCCTTTTAGAGTCCAAGGCCGTGTTGGAAGGAGAAATGTGGGCAAGAAAATTGGGTTGTTAAAACTTGGATGGAAAGCTAGTTAGTCTTTATCTTGTTTGACAGTTTTGAAGGAAGAATTAGAACTGAAAATGAAGGGAAAAATTGGTGCAATCAAACTTTTAGAGGGACAATTTGAGAAGAGAGTAATTTTTTTTTTTTTGAGGAATTTATAGGAATTAAACCCAAGAAGAAAGAGAGCGAAAGATGAAGAACGGTAAGTAATAGTTTTAACTTCTAATCTCCTAGATTCACCGTTATCAAAGCACTGTTTACCACAGTAGAGAGATTAACAATAATTCAAAGAAATATTTTGTAACCTCCTTCATATTCAAAGCAACCGTTGTACCATATTGACACTGGAAAATTATGTAATGGGGATCGACCAATATAATTAATTCCGCCGCGGAGACCACTTTTAGTCATACCTGAAGTCATTAGTCAATCTCGACTCAGACTTTTAATTTCCATTAGGCAACGTACCATTTAGCTTGAAAAAAAAAAGAAGAAGAAGAAAAAAAATGCAGCATATATGTAAGTTGAATTAGTCACCATTTTCAGCTTTCCAAGTCTTTTGTAAGTCGGGTCCTACCATAGTGCATGGAAAGGTGTTGGTATTTCAGAAAACTCGGCAGTAACTACCTTTATTAAGACCGCATCCGAAATCGTTCACTACTTAAACCCCCACAGGCACAGGCAGATGGGAATCCCCAAGCTCAATCTCTGGTCAGTCATCACTCCAAATCTCTTATCTAAAAGTCTACAATAGGAATCTGAAATTTCCAAAGTTTGAGGATGAGCAAGTTTGGGTGCATGGTCGTTTTTTGTGCTTTTTCTGCAGCAATGCTGCAGCAAGGTGCAACAGCAGAGGTGTATGTGGTTGGGGATTCCATTGGTGGGCTATCCCCCAAAATGGTGCTGCTGCTTACACCAACTGGGCTTCTGGTAAAAACTTCAAAAGTCGGTGACATCCTAGGTAATGAACTAATAATGACATGATCATCTTCATTTCGCATCAATTCTCAATTTACAAAAGGATGTACTCTGGTTAATACGTCACATTTCACTCAGTCAACAACAATAATGTGTTCGCTTAATTTGCTTTTCTTTGTTTCTTTCCTTCCAGTGTTCAACTTCGTCACCAACCAACACGATGTCCAACAAGTACCCAAGGCATCCTACGATGCATGCAATTCAAACAATGCAATAGGCGGCATGATCACGGATGGACCAGCAAATGTAACTCTCAGCTCCACCGGAGCTCATTACTTCATTTGCACTTTCAATGGCCATTGCCAAGCAGGTCAGAAGCTAGCCATTTCGGTGAGCGGCTCAGCTGGCACTCCAGGGGCCAATCCTCCCGCTAGGACCCCTGCTCCCGCAACGACTCCTACCGCTCCTCCTCCACCCTCTAACCAGCCGCCTGGTGCTCGTGCACCAACGCCTTCACCAGCTCCCAAAGCTGACGGACCTTCTGCTGCAACACCAACAGCCGTGACCACCCCACCACCAGCTCCTCCTACTTCATCCTCGAATGCTCTGTTTGCCGGCCTTGGTTTCGGCATTGCATCCGTTGCCGTGGGCCTTTTCGTCTAAACATGGAAGGACATGAAGGAGATATTCTTGATTTTGATGTTTATTTTGGGTACTCTTTCAACAATTAATATTGTGCTTGGGTCGCGTAGAGTGTAGACTGTTACTGTATTTAGCCATCAGAAAATGCTATCAATAAAATTCATGGATTTTTGGGATTTTATGCCTGCTTACGTCTAAAGAATCACGTCTTTTTCATTCTGATTTCACATTGACAGCACACCGTCTCCATGCGGCCAATGGAGCTCAAGACGGTAAACCATTTCATTATTCCAGACTTCACACTCTAAAGAGGTTGCAGTTTTAACTCTTTTTTTTCAAAATATAAATTAGGGAGTATAATGGTCCAAGAAAATAATTGAAAAAAGTCACGAGAAAATCAACTAGTACGGTTGTTTAGGGATGGCCACCCGCCCCACGGGGGGTTAATGGGGAGGGTTGGGGGCGGGGGCGGGATTTTTCCCCCCGCTTAGAAACGGGGCGGGGGGCGGGGAAGTGTACCCCTGCCCCGTCACTATATATAATATATAATTTAATTAGTTACAAACTTATGATAATGATATTATTAGTTATATGTATTATATAATGTCTATTAGTATATATAATATAATTGATATTATTAATTACACTAATAATTATATATTTGTACTAATACAAATTATTAATTGGTTATACTAAATTTACTAATACATTTATACTAAATCCCTAATTACACTTAATACAATAGCATTTTTTTCTTAAAAAAACCACAAGCACAATAATGAATTAGTGATTGTATTTGTGCCAAAAGTTAAAACTTGACTACTTTAGTTACATTTATTTCATCATGTTGGATTGTATTCAAATAATTTTTATTTGATTGTTTTTATAAGTTTCAATTGTAAAATTACAATGAATAATAATTTGAAAATGTATTGATATTTTAGTACTTGATTATTTGTTAAAATTTAACCATAATAAAATTATATAACAAATTTTTATTAGCCCCGCAGGGACACTTGCGGAGGAAACCGGGCAGGGCAGGGAAGGGGCGGGGGAACGGGGGACGGGGGATGGGGCGGGGGCAGGGGGGAGTTTGTAGGCGCGGGGCAGGGGATGGGGGAGGGGTTCCCCGCCCCAACTCCGCCCCGTTGCCATCCCTATAATTGTTGACTAACTTGACCGGAGGTTCAATCTGGATCGCGGGCTTAATCTGCAGTTTTACGGTTCTAAAGTAATCTGTTCTACAATTGCGAGTAAAGACTTGAGTTGACTGTACAATCAGTATACATGATGACACTGAGAAACTAGTATTTCCTCACCTTATATAATGCCTAATGCATAAGAGCTAATGTTAGTACTTGTATGATTCTTATCTCCGTTAACAATACAAAAGGAGCACATTTGAAACAACAAACTTAGTTGATAAATGTCTTCCACCAATGCGGCTATCCTGATGCCCTGAGCCTTCTGGGATCTGTTTGTTTTGCACTTGAAACTGCACTTTTCTCCCTTGCAGTGTTACAGCTTTGCTCATTGCCAACTTTAAAGCTACTGCCTCACCTATAAACTAGGATCCCGAGCTTCTCTCTTTCAATGCCCATCCTATCATTGGCTGTTCGTTGCCATCGGTTACTGTGATTCCAATACCCAATATAAGATTATCCCTTTGCCTCACCTATAAACTAGGATCCCGACCTAGAAATAGAATGTTCAGAATAAAGAATTCTTGGTGTACAGTGTGAACTGAGCGGTCCCCCAAAATATTTAAATTAGCCTAAAAAAAGAGGAAGTTTCCTTTCCGTATTATCCTTTTAATTAATACAAACATCATATTATTGCACTGGTCTCTGAAGTTCTTATAATGAATGACTCGTAAAAACAAATCATAAATTCGAGAATTTGATTATTGTACTTTTCATAAACATCGACCCTCTTTATAGGATTGGATCAACTTCAATTCATTGCCCCTACTTACCATTCACTATAAAATTAAACATTTTGACGTTATGCAGGAATTGAAAAGATCTCATGAACTAAACTAATTTATCGAGTGGCGGTGAAGTGTTGGCTAGTTTAAGTAATTGCCGGACAAAATACTTGCATTCATCGTGAAACAACTGATCAAGAACAGCAATAACCGGAAACATATAAAGTAAAATGCAGAATTCTCCAAAGATTCTCCTCTATATATTTGAGAATATATATATATAGGTAATATGATCCTCCGTAATTGAAAATAGAAAAAAAGAAAAAAGTGATCTACGCTACAACTTGTGGTTCAGAAAGTTCGAAAAGAAATGCTAACTTTAGTTACAGCTAAGATCGCGAATTATAATAGTCACTTGACTGGAACTCATCTACATAAATTGTTTCAAATGGAAGCTTCTGCAGCCCATCACAACTAACAAAAATGTTGAAAAATTACCAACTCCAAGATTCAAGAGCCCCACAAAAAGTTGTCCTAGAAAAAGTTGACCAATCAAAGTATATATGTGAAATGCTGACCAAAATGATCATTACCATGACAAATTAAACATAACGCTGGAATTATCACGAGAACGATGTAAGGATATAGCTGTCAAAAAGTCTTCCATGACTGCTTTTCGCAACGGTTATGTTCCCCTTTTACGTCTTGTACTGACTAGCAGGGTGTGAATCGAAATCGAAATCGGTAGTAATAAGGGTGCGAATCGAAATCGAAATCAACCATTCAAAATTTTGAAATCGAAATTTTTCGTATCAGAATTTTCGACCAGAAATTAATTTCTGTTGTACGTAGTGTCGTCATATATGGTGCATATAAATAAGTTTGGCAGTTTTGTCGGTGTGTCTGGTATTTGCGTGGACTAAATAATAGACTTTGAACCTTGTAATGTGATCACAGTACATTTTTTCTTTGGCCCTTGCGTCCTTTATTAGACTTTGAGTGTTAATTTCGGCTGTCTCAGCGAATGCTCCTTAATTAAGCTTGAAAGTTGGACAATTGACACCAAATGTATATCTACTAGATGGATGGATGGATGGAATGGTTGATTATTTCGAATCTGACCTTCCCGTCAATGACCGTGCCCGTCACTCCGGCCACCCTTCAAAAAAAAAAAAAAGCCTCAACGACTCTCATTCAAAGTGGAAGCCACGATTGACTTCTTCTTTTGGCTCCTCGGGCTTAATTCATTAGACTTTTATCATGTGGGAAAAAGATAATTTCAGATTACAAGAAGATAGCAGTGCTTGTAAAATGTAGTATCAACCAAGTTTTGGGGGATCAGCTAATTATTAGTATTAATCTGGTAGAGTGTGAGTGTCATGGGGACAAAAGGTTGAGTAAAAGTGAGGAACAAAAGCCCAAAAAGAAAAGGGCTTTACTGATTGATATACACTACATAGATAGTAAGTACTACATGATAAAAGAAGTAAGCATGTGCTGAAACTCTCTTATTTAAACACAAAGTTAAGCTCAGACAAAGCGACACTACTCCGGTAAATATGTCCAAAGTACGAGATTAAGAAGCATCCTCGGTGGTGGGCTGCACGGTAACCTTGGAGTTGTCATCAACAACAACCTCGTCATCACCGTAGATCTGATCGAGTACAAGGACGAGTCCCATGGCAAAGGCCCCATCGAAACCAGGCCGTAGTGAAAGAGAGAACACGTCCTTCCCAAGCATCACATTCGCCGAAGCGTCCACTTTGCGTCGAATCTCAGCCACTGATTCCTTCTCCGCATTAAAGAATGTGCAGCACCTCTGTGCATAGGACCCCTCGATGTGGTACTCCTCGCCGGAGTTGTTGTACATGTCCACCGTCAATCCCGACCGTCCAATCATTGATGATCTACGCACGCTGAAAATTGGCTTCTGGCCCTCCACCCTTTCTCCTAGGAAACCTTCCCATCTCTGATGAAGGCTAGGCCTCTGCAGTTCCCCAAATACACCAAAACAAAACTTAGCAGTGAGTCCCACACGCCTCCGGTTTGAAAAAGCATTAATAATAAGCCAATTATTAAAAAAATTTTAATCCTGCTTATCCCATGCTGTTTGATTACTACATGCATAAACACCAAAAATGGCGAAGATGTTTTAAAACAGAGATGAGGTTTTTTTCATCATCCAGTAAATGGACTCGGAATTATTTATTATTCAAGGGTAGCTGGCCAGTTCTTTTGACCAAATTGGGGGTCGGTTGACATTTCTTTTCGTGAAAGAGGGAAAAAAAAAAAGGAAATCACAGAAGTCAACAAGAAAGAATCCTCTGAACTCCAGAAGCTTGACCCAGCACCGAGTTATGTGGCTGAAACTCGAAACGGGAACAGAAGGAAAGCTGAAGCTAGTAAGATCACCACCAACCAGGTAGACTCACTTAATTCCATTAGATTAAATGGCTAGTCTAGCAAAGCAAAGCAAAAACGTGCGCATTTTGGATCTTCATTCCAAATCTGATTGGGATACTTTAGCATGTATTATGTATTGAACATCAATAAACGCGTACGTTGAGGCAACAAAAATTTGCACGTACAAGCGTAGAGCCATTAGATTTTGTTGGTGAAAAAGTACAAGCGTACCTTGCGGCGGACGGTGAGGAGGCATTTCCCAGAAGCGTCCATCAGAACGAGCTCACTCTTGTCGGAGTCGGGCCCGTAGGTATCAACTCGGAAAACCAGCTGTCCTTTGCAGTCATACACGGTAAAGCCGTCGCCGGCGAAGAAAAGGGACGTCTTGAGAACTGTGAAATGCGTCTCTTCTTCGTATATGAACCCATCTTCTACTACTGCACAACAACCCCTCATTCTCTGTTTTTATCTGAATTTTCTCCTCAAAGCCGGATCTCAAAATAAAATATCTAACACAGTTCACTCCTTTCAAGAATATGATTTTAATAGGGAAGACAGGAAAGACAGGGAGATATTTTTATGATGATGATGATGAGAAGAGGAAAGGGGCACACGAGGTAGGAGGAGCGGGAGAGTATCTAACGTCAAGTGGATTTCGGAGGGTACAATGAATGAGACGTGTGGGTAGGTATTAATATAGGGTTTTGTCTTTGGGAGGAGCTCAATAGAGGGGAGAGAGAGAGAGAGCGAGCGAGGGCCGAGGGGTGGTAAATGGTAATCAAGTAATCATCGATCGTATTATAAGCGCAAAATATTATTGGATGCACACAATATTATGTTTCTGCAACGCACAAAAACACACGCACTGAGGAATATTAAAAAGGTCCACGTCTAGAATCGTCGGCCCTTGGAGTTCGGCGTCGGAGGAGGTGGACCCTTCTTCAAGAATGGAATACTAAAGCTGCGAATCTGGTGGTGCAATTTATGTGGAGTTCGAACACTCGTACAAAAGATGCTACAGGATCCAATTGACTTTCCCAACTTTTCATCGTTCATCAAATTCTTACTTCTAACAGACGACAATTAGTCGGTAACTTACGTTCAAGCCATTCCACTAGATTGACATTAGGTTGGACATTACTCGAGCCACAAGTCTTATTGTACTTTGTGTCGATGATTTTTTTTTTTTTTTGAAGGAGTTTCGATGACCATGATGCGTGCATACTCAAAATTCAAAATAATCTTGCTTGTAAGGGTAGGAAAAAAATTTTAACAACTGCAAAATTTTGTTTGGACTTAAAAGTTAGTAAATAGATGAAGGAACTTTTTCGAGGGTCCATACTCCAGACAAATTAGTTCTGTCATTCAACTTTACTAAGCCGATAACTAGTAAGGGTACTAACGAGTTTAATCAAGTCGAGCACTCTAACGTTCAAATTCGTTTAAATATATTAACAAGTTAGAAATTGTATTAAGTTTGGCTTGTTTATTTTCTAAATTAAAGTCAAACGAGTTTTTACTAAGTTGAACTTGAGTCCAGCTTGAGTGGTTTAAAGTTTTTCACATATAAATTTTAATTTATACTAATCAAGCCAAACTCGAGCCTAAGTTTAAAATTTTATCAAAACAAAAGACTGGTTGAGATCAGTTTGATTAGTTTGCTAACCAATCTCAAATGAACTCTTATCGGACCAAACTTGATCGAATATCGAGCAACTTATAGTTCCGCTTTTCAGCCTAATAACTAATTCAATAAGGTAAACTTTGGAAAAGGTTAATTAATTAACTAGACTTTGTTTTGACTTGGTTAATCCACAAGCTTATGTGTGGATGACAATAGTATTATGCCAAAAAAAAAAAAAAGGAAGAAAGAAAGGACAAGAATGTCGATTAAATTCTTGAAAGAAACAAAATGCTAATAACAGATTAAACATAGACGGTAGATTAGTTAAATTATAACGTCCTACATTTAACATCGGAATTAAGTTAAGATACAATTAATTGGTTAATCTAATACTAAAGTTTGGGAATAACTACTAACTGAGCCTAAATATTCTAGACCCGTGATTTTTCAAGACTGAAATCATACAAGGAGCATGAAATAAAAGGTTATCACCATCGTACCAAAATCATTAATTATCTTTTGCCTTCTTAATATTGCTCCTTAGCATGTTCACATACTAATTACTCCTTCCATTTCACTTTGATAGTTTTGGTTATTTTTTTCACACACTTTAAAAAAAATTAGCTAACTTTATTGAAAGAGTAAATTTAACAATTATTTTTCTAAAATACCCATGTATTAATATTTGGAGTATGAATAATCACTATATCTTTACATTAATTACAACAACAATATTATGGAAAGTTGCATCATTCAAGACATGAATCTAAGCAATTAATGAATAAGGTAGATTATACTCACGGACAAAAATGTATATTAAATAAGGACATTTTAGAGAAGTTACAAGTTAATTAAATTTCAATTGAAAGTTGGACTATAATTGGAACGCATGAATAAAGAAAATAAAACTATCAAAAAGTGGAACGGAAGGAATATAATATAATAGACTGAACAATTCTGTGTTGTGCTAATACACTTTAAAACTCCATATCAACTAACTTTGTCTGAACAGGTTCTGTCGTAATTTGACAATTTATATTCCTTCTGACTTGTAGGAACAAAATCCAGTCCTTTGGAACATGATGCTTACTGGATTAAAGACGATAAAATGGAGAAGGAAAAATTCATAGCTACAAGCTAGAAAGCCATAGCTAGTTAGAGCATCTCTTACCGTGGGTTTAATTTCCAGCACGTTACTTTTGACAGATATTTTCGAAAAATGCATTTAAAAGTATCGACCATATATTCCATTGAGCGCATTTAGATGATGTATTTGCTGATGATAAGTTTTGTGCTGAAAACATGAGTTCTCATTTTGTGCTTATATTTTGCTCTTTTTTTTTCTGTCCCTTATTATTAATTCTAGATGTTGATGTTACTAAAAACTTTCAGAGCGTTTATCTTTTGGCTTTTCCCTTTTAAGAAGTTCAATCATTGCCCACTAAAAATAATAATACATTTTGTTGTTTGTCTTCTCAATTTCTGGCTGAATCAAGTAGTAAATCTTGGTCTAACGCTTTGCGGTCTAGAAATGAGAAATCCCGTTGTTAATCAATCTTTCCTCCGTCAACTCTCTTCTTTGGCCTTCAAAACCCGCGACACAACTCTCCAACCTTTACAACGGCGTTGCTCTCTCAAATGACGGGCTGTATTTGACATCTGTCCTGCCATATTTGGATTTGTTTAATAATAACATGGACATCATCAATTTTTATATACCTAACCGCAAAATATCACCCGACTATGAAATGGCTTGATTTTTAAAAAAAAAAAAAAATTTCGGGTAAGTATTATAGGATAGAGGTATGATATTTGTAGTGCAAAAATGCAAAAGAAAAAGGAAAAATAGTTCAGGAAAATGAGTTGGATCCCTACTTACAAAAAAATGAGTTGGCGAACTAGGTACAGATTCAACCCAAAAAAAAAAAAAGAATCCTATATATATATAAAAAGGAGTTGGTATTTGACTGTTCGTTGTTTTTCATCCGACTTTTTTATGGGTAATTTAGGTAACATGTTGGCATAGTACAACTGATCCAGTTTCGAGTGCAAGCATACTATGCTTATTGCTATGTGAGTTGATAAGCGTACCCTTGGTGGCATGATGATTACATTCTCAAATTAAGCTTATGTAGTAGTAGTGACAGCTTTACCCTTTTAACCATCCGTTAAATCTGTTTTTAAGACAAAGAGGTAGTTGGGTGAATTTGGAATTTAAACTTGTGCAAAGAGTATGATTAATTGAATTCAGTAACTGAAGTATCATTAAGACCATATGAATGCATCAAGATGATGATTAATTGACTACTCTATAGTGGAGGTGTAACTGTAGACGTTTTCCTCTCTTGAACTTCTGCATGTGCAATTGAACTCATACAAAGAGTGGGATGATCAAAATGAGCAATTATGACATCTTAAAGATAGGAGTAATGCATGAGAGATGAGGAATCTCTTGGAAAGCATCTTTAAAGTGTAACTGCAAAACTCTTCCTCTTCAGTAGCATTTGTTGAGCAAATTTTTGAGGTTGTTGGAATAATGAGGGTTGTTAATATAAAACCTCATTGGTTCAGCTGGTTATGGTTCATACCACATGTTGTTACTCTTTTTCTTTCCTTTCCTTGTGGTTTCCATTTCAACCCTTCGTGAAGGTATGCTTATTTTGCTACCCTTCTCCTTCTTATATTCTTTGATTAGATTTGAAAAGTTTGTTTTTTGTTATTTAAATTCTTTGATTCAAAAATCCGATGTTCTTTTTTCCATGTTAGCATTGTTATATATGTATGATAAGATATCAATGGGTTGTATCTTTTTTTTGTTGGAATCTGTTTTGTTTAATTGTTTTAGTCCTGGTAGACACTATTAAAGTTTGCTTTTCATATCCTTATATACTTAAGATCCATTAAATAGTTTAAATTTATATACAATTCTGATCTCCTTTTCATGTCTTACTCCAATCAGCTGTGGGATGATCAAGCCAAAAGTTGTCTCCGAATGCTTGAAGGCCATGGTATTTGAGCCATGTGTTTTCATCCTAAATTTCCTATTATAATCATTGGTTCAGCTGATGATATTGTTCCAGGTATGGTGTGCAATTACTTACAGGTAATTTATACATTTGAAAACTCAACTTATTATTATTCATCTTATGAGAGTGCGATGCACCTGTTTCACTTTTGTAGTATTGATCTCCTCTATTTTTTTTTCGGTACTAGGTACCCTCATTTTTAAGAAAACAATATTTTTTATTCTATACAAAATCATACTTTATTTCACGGTGAATTTACCGATTAAACCACTCACTTGTTATGAATGATGAGTTCTATATATTTAGAAGACTAAATTTAGAGTATTACATATTGACAGTTCTTTTTTACTTTGTCTCATGTTCTTTTCAACTGAATATTACAAATTTGTTAATTGCTACTCTAACTACTTATTCACAACACAGGTATCAACTCCCACGCGTTGCGTGGGACTCTTTGCTAGTTAATAAAATAAAAAGGGCAGCTTTCCCGTGTAAAACAGCAAAAAAGTTTCCTTTTTTTGTTCTATGGGGGGAAAAATAGATCAAAGGAGAAGAATTAAAGCTGGTCATCTTTCTTTTTTTTTTTTTTTTTTTTCTGAGACAACAACTATTGTATAATCTAATTTATTCTACATTAAAGGGGAAGGGACGGACCTAAGGAGCTTTAGAGATAATTTAAAGAAAACTGAACCATCATCGAATCAAACAGATATATTATGAATCCGTCTAAATTTTTTGAAATCAAACCACTTTAAACGTGGCAATTGATGCGAGACAATTACTGGGTGGTAGTCATCAGTACCACAGGATTCAATGTTGACTTCTAGTGGTACGTCTTCCATTCATGCGAACTAATATATCCCTTCCGGAGGGACAATGATAATATTCCCTTCCGGACCATATTCCTTTGCAGATGCCCTTTTCTGACATCCTTACTGACGGAATAGTATTCTCAATAAAGATTGAAAATGACATTTTGCTTTTGATCATAATCATCACAATTACCATTGATAACCTAAAAAAATAACCAACGAAGTTTCCATGTGCACGTGTAGCAAGTACATCAGAGAATCCACTGGCGTGCCACAGTGGCGCTTCCGCTGGTGTCACGGCAAACATATCACCGGAGGCTTCCACTTCCGGCATGTCATCATAGCGGCGCCAAAAGATAGACCATTACAGCTCCCACCTATTTTTATCTTTTCACTTTTACTCTATCATGGGGAAGGTTTGGCTTGACAGCATATGTTATATTTTCACGATCCAACTTCCAAAATATCATGCTAATTTGTAAATAA